CTCCGCCTGGTGGCCCGCTGCCTGCTGCTTCGCCTGGTAATCCGATGTGCCTCTGCCCGGAGTCCTGCCCGATGTGCCTCTGCCCGGAATCCTGCCCGATGTGCCTCTGCCCGGAGTTCTGCCCGATGTGCCTCTGCCCGGAGTCCTGCCCGATGTGCCTCTGCCCGTGTGCCTCTGCCCGGAGTCCTGCCCGATGTGCCTCTGCCCGGAGTCCTGCCCGATGTGCCTCTGCCCGATGTGCCTCTGCCCGGAGTCCTGCCCGATGTGCCTCTGCCCGGTGTGCCTCTGCTCGATGTGCCTCTGCCCGGAGTCCAGCCCGGTGTGCCGCTGCCCGGAGTCCTGCCCGGTGTGCCAGTCTTTGATATCCCGCCAGTTGCCAGACCCGGGCGGTGGAACATTTTGCCCAGCTAGGACTGTTTGGAGCGTCCTGAGGCCGCTCCTTGAGGGGGGGGTACTGTTAGGAATGGACTGGCCAGCAATGGTGGGACTCACCTGCCTTTTGATCTGCAGTACCAGGGCTGGCCAGCGGGTGTTCCCAGCAATCAGAGACTCAACTCTGCAGCCAGCTAACACCTGTAACTGATGATGCTGGGGTATTTAAGGGATGGCCAGACCCACAGACTCTGCCTTGGTGTTGTGTTTGTCCTGGGCCCTGTATCTGTCCTGCATCCTGTTTCTGTTCCTTTGCTGACTTCTCCTGCTCTGATCCTGTCTTGTGACCCTGACCATCCCTCTGTCTGACCCTCTGTACTACGCTGCTTGCTACCTGTTCTGATCCCTGGCTTGTGACCCGGACCATCCCTCTGCCTGACCCTCTGTACTATGCTGCTTGCTACCTGCTGAACCTGGCCTGTGACCCCGACCATTCTCCGCTTGCTCCCCCTGTACCTACCTGCCCAATTGATATTGACCCGGCCTGCCTGACGACGCTTGCTTGTATGTACTGTTATCTGTGGGTGGTTTGGTTTGGTTTGTTTGCACTGTATTATGTTTTAGTATTGCACTGCGTTTATGTTTGTACTGTTAGTGTTAATAAATTATATTGTTTATAACATATCTGAGGTCTGCGTTTCCCTGCTTCAGTCACACACCTCTGGTCATACCTGGGAGCCCTGACATTAACCCCTCTCTTCTTTTTTTGGCAACAGATTGTCTCTATGACAAAATCTCAGCCCTGTCCTACCCCAACCTGGCCACTTCAGTCTACAACAGTTCACTGTCATCCACCGTGGACACATTGACCCCCTTCACTACACACACAATTAGGCCCTGACCGCTAAAGTCCTGGCAAACAGACAATACCAGATGCCTCAAAAAATGTAGCCGTGCTCTGGAACATTTATGGCGTAAGACTAGGACCCAGCACGACTTCGACCAATATAAATCTGCCCTTCAAAAATACAACTTCTGTCTCCACACTGCCAAACAGACCAATTTTATCACTCTCATTAACACCCTCTCACGCAATCCCCAGCAACTCTTTTTCACCTATAACTCTCTACTTCGTCCTTCTTTACCTCCACCCACTAACTCACTCACTGCCCAGGAGATCGCTAATCACTTAAAAAATAAGATTGATACAATTTGTGAGGAGATCTCCACAGTACAGATATCTCCCTCACCCTACACTCCTTGTCCACCTGCACAATCTATACTTCCCTTGTTTAACCCAGCTACTATAGAGGAGGTTGGTAAACTTTTATCTAAAGCCCACCTAAACACCCCTGTCCTTTGGACCCTGTTCCCTCGCAAATACTACGGTCACCCTCTGGCTCTATCCTTCACTCTTTATCTCATATCTTCAATCTCTCCCTTTCTACTGGCATCTTCCCCAACTCTCTAAAACATACGCTAGTCACCCCCATACTTAAAAAGGCCTCACTGGACCCCACCAATCTTAGCAACCTAAGACCCATCTCCTTATTCCCTTTTGCCTCCAAACTCCTTGAATGTCTAGTCTACAACTGGCTGAACTCCCACCTTATTGAGAATAACCTTCTTGATACCCTCCAGTCTGGATTTCACCCACAACACTCTACAGAAACTGCTCTCCTGAAACTCACAAATGACTGGACCCCACCAATCTTAGCAACCTAAGACCCATCTCCTTATTCCCTTTTGCCTCCAAACTCCTTGAACGTCTAGTCTACAACTGGCTGAGCTGCCACCTTATTGAGAATAACCTTCTCGATCCCCTCTAGTCTGGATTTCACCCACAACACTCTACAGAAACTGCTCTCCTGAAACTCACAAACGACTTGCTAACCGCTTAAAACTAATTGTCACTATTCCATACTCTTACTCTTGGACCTCTCCGCTGCCTTTGACAGAGTTGACCACCCCCTCCTCATCAACAAATTCTGTTTACTTGGTCTCCGTGACTGTAATCTCAGTTGGTTTGAATCTTACCTATCTCACCGCACCTTCAGTGTCACTTACAACTCTACCTCCTCCTCTCCTCCTCTTCTTACTGTTGGGGTGCCCCAAGGTTCTGTCCTTGGGCCTCTCCCATTCTTGATCTACACCTCTTCCTTGGGTCAGCTGATAGCTTCCCATGGTTTCCAATACCATTTCTATGCCGATGACACACAAATCTATCTCTCTACTCCCCAACTCACCCCATCAGTTTCTTCATGTATCACCGATTTACTAACAGACAATCAGACTGGATGTCACACCACTTCCTAAAACTCAATCTATCCAAAACTGAGCTCATAATATTTCCTCCCCCAAGTGCCTCTTCCCCTGATTTCTTGGTCAGGATCAATAGCACCACTATCAACTCATCCCCGCATGCCAGGGTGCTAGGGATAACCCTGGATTTTGAACTATCCTTTCAGGCCCACATCCAATTCCTGTCCAAATCATGCCGCTTTAACCTCCGCAACATCTCCAGAATAAGCCCCTTTTTAACCAATAATACCACAAAGCTCCTAATTCACTCCCTGGTTATCTCTCGCCTCAACTACTGCAACTCCCTCCTCATTGGCTTAGCTTTACATAGGCTATCCCCCCTCCACTCCATTATGAATACTGCTGCCAGGCTCATCCACCCTACGAACCATTCAGTGTCTGCTACCCCTCTCTGCAAATCCCTCCAATGGCTTCCACTCACCCAACAAATAAAATTCAAAATACTAACAACAACTTACAAAGCTATCCACAACTCTGTCCCCAGCTACATCACTTACCTGGTCTCAAAATATCGACCAAACCACTCTCTTTGATCCTCCCAAGACCTTCTGCTCTCTAGTTCCCGTGTCACCCCCTCCCATGTTCGCCTCCAGGACTTCTCCCAAGCTTCTCCCATCCTATGGAACTTCCTACCCCAATCTGTTTTACTATCTCCTAATCTATCCACCTTTAGATGATCTCTGAAAACCGTTCTCTTTAAAGAAGCCTATCCTGCTTCTACCTAGTAAACTGCGGTTTATTTTCTCCATCAGCGCATCCCCCCACAGCTATTACCTTTTGTATCACTCAACCCTTCCTCCTAAATTGTAAGCTCTAATGAGCAGGTTTTCTCTTGTACCAAATTGTATTGTAACTGTAATGTCTACCTTCATTTTGTAAAACGCTGCGCAAATTGTTGGCGCTGCATAAATCCTGTATAATAATAATTATGTTTGCTTTGGGGTTTATTACTGCTTTAAGTACAGTATGTTCATGTGAATAAAGCCTAACAATATTAATAATAAAAAACAAAATCAATGATTATCCACTATAAGAAAAAAAAATAAAATTTCATCGCAATCTCAACATTGAAACGAATTCAGTGTCTAAGATATGTAGTGCATGCAAAGTGGTAAAAGCACATTGTAAGTTTTTATTTTCAGCTTTTTTACATTACCATTCAGCAAATAATTGTCATTATATTTTTGCAGCTATACTTTTGTGTTTGGGTTTTTCATCATGGATGTTATATTAGGTTTTTTACTTAGAAAATCATCTAAACATCTAATTTACTGATGGTCCCTAAGCATTTTCTCACAGCTTATTACTATGTGAGAGAGACACAGATCTTCTGAGTATGCCATATTCTGCTGATTGTCTGTGTTACTATCTCCTGCTGTGTTATGACAGTTGGTTGATCATGTTATCCTTTCACCCTTGTGTCCAGGTTGCTAACATTCTTGAAAGAAGTAAATTCTTCACTTTGACTTTTCATTTTTGTCAGGCCTTTGGCTGTATATACCGTATAATAGGCTAGCTGTTACCAAATATGACCAACTGATTACTGGCATATTGTCTCATATTAAAGACTTTAAAGGGACTGTATGTTGGCTTTGTATATATTTTTAAAAATAAATTTTAAATTTTTTTTTTTTTAGTTTGGTGATTTAGAAACTATGGAAAATGTCAAAAAATTACATTTTGCACGATTTCTCCCATCATTTATTAGAAATTTGTTAAAAAAAATGTCCAATGTGCTTGATCACTCAAATTCGATGGTCACTTGAAAATTGGCTGTTGCTGAGGCTCACTAATGGTGCAAAATTCAAATGAAAATTCTTAGAAAAGATATTTTCGAAAGAAAAATTCTTTTGGAATTCAACTTATTTATGGCCAGCTTTAGGGGGAGATTTACTAAAACTGGAGCACACAGAATCTGGTACAGCTGTGCATACTAACCAATCAGGTTCTAGCTTCAACTTGTTCAATTAAGCTTTGACAATAGCACCTAGAAGCTGATTGGTTTCTATGTACAGCTGCACCAGATTCTGTGTACATCAGTTTTACTAAATTTCTCCCTAACACCCCAGTCACACTGGATACGAATTGGCATGTGATTTGCATGCCATGTGACTTGCAAATCGCATGCCAAGTCGCACCTGATTGTCCGCAATTACAGCGGTCATATCAGTGTGGTTCCAAACTTGGGTGGAGCGGCACTGATTTCTAAAGTAGTGCATGCACTACTTTGGTGCGATTTGCATAGACATCTGTGTCTATGCAAATTGACATGTCACCCGATTTGAAAATTGTGCGACTTCACTGTGAGTCACGCAACTTCAAAGTCAGGTTTGATGTGACTGGGGTGTAAGAGTGGGTTTGGGACACCACATGTAATGGTAGTGCGGGACACTGCATGTAATTTGTACAGGAATTGCACTGCAATTTCTGGCAATCGCATTGCGTTTTTTAGATTTGTTTTGGGGTGTCATTAATTTAGCATTGACACCCACACCAGATCGCATGAACTCCATGCGATTCCAATGCTGTGTGGGAAACGCACAGGATTCACAGTGTTTCTCGCACCGCATCAGTATAAACCCTCTCTAAGTGTTTTAGAAAATTAAATGTCAGAAAGTTAGGGTTTAGATCTACTTTACTATATTGAAGTGAAGGTGCAATGAAAGCATTAGTAATGAGCTGCAAGCTCTCAATTTGTGACTACATCACCCTTCCAAAAACTGGAGAATAATAATTACTGTTGCAATTGAGTTCAATAAACGTATAAAAAATAAAAGTAATACAGCTCTATTTTTATGATAATGGAATGCAGTGGAAAAAAAATCAAGTCAGTGAAGCCAAGCTTCACACAGAGGATATAAAGTATGGTGTTAACTGACATCCACACTGTGCATTCATTCCTCTGATTTCAAAAGATTATACCATTAGGCATTATTAGTCCTTTAGCATGCCTAGAATATAATAATCCATATTTTCCAACTGACAGCTTCCATAGATTTAATAGTGCAATTGTATGATATGTTTCTCTGTGATGCTCATTGGGCCCTATTTGAAGCGTCTTAATGTAATATTGTATTATGAATACTTTGGCTCATTTTGTTTGCAAAGTGTCACATATCAATGAATGTAATCTGAACTGTGATGCTAAATGGTGAAGCTTTTATTTACATATAATTCTGAGAAACAGCAATATGATTCACTTCACAGCTATGTGAGACAAACAGCTACATCCAAAGCCCAAAGCAGGGGTGACCCACAGTTTCTTGGAACATTAACCACTTGCCGCCTGGCCTACAGTCAAATGACAGCTGGGCGAATATCTTGTCCCTCCGGGAGGGTGTCATATGGCATCCATCCCTGATCGTGCTTTGTGCGTTCCTGCGGCCACGCTGTGACGATATCTGTCACCAGCTGTGTACCTTGGACACGGCCAATGACAGATCTGTGTATCGGCACCATTGCTAGTACCATGTGACTTGCTGTGACCAATCACAGCAGGTTGCATGACAGTTGTATACAATGGATGGCTTCCTTTCATGCCATCCATTGTATACAAGTGTGTCTAGCTATGAATGGTCACAGTGATCACATGCACAGGCTGGGCCAGTCACAGCACATCTGTGTCATGTGATCAGCCATGGCCAATCACAGCTAATCACAACAAAAAAAGCTGAATGAATTGATTTCATTCAGTTAAATGCTTGCTAATAGCTAATAAATTATTTGCTATAAGCAATCAAATTGTGTAAAAAAAAAAAAAACTGATCACTTCCCCAAAGTAGTACAATGTTACTATGGTAACATTATACTACTTTTGGTCATAGTGTAATATGAAAAAAAAAATCTAAAAAAAAGACAAAAAAAACATAATCAATTTTTTTTTTGTACTGTCACCTGTCAGTGCCCCTGATCCCCGCCACACCAGTTATATTATGATGCTGTGCTGCACTGGTGACAGTAAGTAAAACAAAATTGTGAAAATAATTTTTTTTAATTTCTTCATTTTCTGAAAAATGATGACAAAAATATTACAACTTCAAAAAACTCGCCATGCCTCTTATGAAATATATTGGACTGTCTACTTTGCAAAAAGGGGTCATTTGGGGGATATCTGTACTGTTCTGACATTTGTGGGCCTCAAGTAATTAGATTGGCAGTCAGTACTTTAGGATTGATCAATTTTCAGAAATATTCCATTGTTTATGAACTCTATAACTTTCCTACAGACTAAATAATAAATACTACTTTGGGTTATTTTCACTAAAGAAAAGTAGTAGAATACATATTGGCCTAAATTTATGAAGAACAATTATTTATTTGCAAACTTTTATAACAGAAACAAAGAACGTGTTTTTTTTTCAAACATTTCGGCCTTTTTTTTGTTTATTTAACAACAAATTAAAACCCCAGTGTTGATTAAATACCACCAAAAGAAAGCTCTAGTTGTTGTGAACAAAATGATAAAATTTTAGTTTGGGTACAATGTTGTATGACCGCGCAATTACCATTAAAAGTGTTGAGAGCGCTGAAACCTGAAAAATGGCCTGGGCAGGAAGGGGGTGAAAGTGCCCGGTATTGAAGTGCTTAAGGGTATTGTGACTCTTCTCATTAATCTTTTTACCCTTATCCTCTGCAATGTTGCCACTAGATCTACCTACAAGCCAGGAGTGCCCCCTCAAAAATTTAAAAGAATAAAAAATTAAGAAGAAAGTGGACCAAATCACCCACAAGGTGACCTAGGTGCATGCCTAGGCCAGGCAGGGGTCCAGGGACCAGGGTGGCATACTTGCAGGATTAAGTTCCCCCTCGTCATGTCTCCTTTCACATTGGTGGCAGTGCTTACCACCCTGTGAAAAGTAATCTGCATTGGATCGCTTTTCAGATGGCGGTATAGCAATGGTTGGCACACATCCTTCTACCTACTGAATGTCTACATTTTCAGTTGCAAGGGGGATTTTTAAATTTAAAAAAAAATCGCACCACAGCCGCATATGTTTGGCTCATGGTTGTGGTGCACTCCCAATGAACTCAATGGGCAAACTTGGCATGCAGTTAATAAACAAATAATGTAATATATTGCAGCTTATCAAACATTAGATTGTATACATACAGACCTCTCCCCCATCAGTGATACTCAGTGAACAAATGCGGACACAGTACAGGAGATGACCAGAGACTGCGGACATGGTACAGGAGGTGACCAGAGACTGCAGACACAGTACAGGAGATGACCAGAGACTGCAGATATAGTACAGGAGATGACCAGAGACTGCAGACACAGTACAGGAGATGACCAGAGACTGCGGACATAGTACAGGAGATGACCAGAGACTGCGGACATAGTACAGGAGATGACCAGAGACTGCAGACACAGTACAGGAGATGACCAGAGGACTGCCGACATAGTACAGGAGATGACCAGAGACTGCGGACATAGTACAGGAGATGACCAGAGACTGCGGACACAATACAGGAGATGACCAGAGACTGCAGACATAGTACAGGAGATGACCAGAGACCGTGGACACAGTACAGGAGATGACCAGAGACTGCGGACACAGTACAGGAGATGACCAGAGACTGCGGACATAGTACAGGAGATGACCAGAGACTGCGGACATAGTACAGGAGAGACCAGAGACTGCGGACACAGTACAGGAGATGACCAGAGACTGCGGACACAGTACAGGAGATGACCAGAGACTGCGGACACAGTACAGGAGATGACCAGAGATATATAATACAGGAGATGACCAGAGAGTGCGGACACAGTACAGGAGATGACCAGAGACTGCGGATATAGTACAGGAGATGACCAGAGACTGCGGACATAGTACAGGAGATGACCAGAGACTGCGGACATAATACAGGAGATGACCAGAGACTGCGGACATAATACAGGAGATGACCAGAGACTGCGGACATAATACAGGAGATGACCAGAGACCGTGGACACAGTACAGGAGATGACCAGAGACTGCGGACATAGTACAGGAGATGACCAGAGACTGCGGACCGAGTACACAGGAGATGACCAGAGACTGCGGACATAGTACACAGGAGATGACCAGAGACTGCAGACATACAACGGTGGCGGGAATACTGGGCCGGGCCGCTCCATAAGACGCACAGACATTTCCCCCCAAGTGTGTCTTATGGAGCGAAATATATGGTAAATGCAGGGCACCTTGTTGGGTCAGATCTGTGTACAATGTAAAGAGAGAGAGAGAGGGGGGGAAGAGATAAGGAGGGGAGAGAGAGAGGGGAGGGAGGGGGGAGAGAGAGAGGAGGGGGGATAGAGAGAGAGAGGAAGGGGAGAGAGAGGAGGGGGAGAGAGAGGAGGGGGGAGGGGAGAGAGAAAGAGGATGGGGGGAGAGAGAGGGGGGGGAGAGAGAGAGAGGAGGAGGGGAGAGAGAGAGGGGGAGGGGGAAGGAGAGGAAGAGAGGAGAGAGGGTAGGAAAGAGAGAGGGAGGAGATCGATCATCCATTGCACTTATCTAGGGTCCGTGGCCATGATACCCGACATGCAGCGATGCAGTCTCCTCTCTTGCTCCCCCTCTTCATGGTCAGCTCTAGGCTCCACCCTCCGGCCGTGACGGTTACATGCACTGATCAGAATAGATGGCCGGCTGGGTGCAGAGAAGCCAGGTGAGTGGTGTGGGTTCATAAGCCGAGCCCACCTTCCCCTGTTCTAGAATTGCTGATCCCGCCCCTGCCTGCCCGCCCGAGCCCTGCCGAGCTCTCCCGACCGCGGCAGATACGCCCCTGCCCGGCGGGCCAGATAAATGTCCTCGGCGAGCCAAATGTGGCCCGGGGGCCGTAGTTCGAGGACCCCTGCAGTAAAGCAAGCTTGTTATACTCACTGTGGAACCTAAGAGGCTAATCCTCTGCATTGTGTAAAAATGCTGTTTGATCCTGACTTCTCTGATCCTCCCCTTCTTCCAGTGTCTTCCGCTTATCTTTTGATAAGACATATCGTGTGGAGACACTGCACATGCTCAATTTGGTGTGCATTGCTAGGGAGGTTTTTTTTTTCTTGCGGGAGTGCATGTGATCAGCACAGGGCCAATCAGCACTACCCAGACAGAGGTCAGGGGTTCTGCATCCTCCTATAGAAAACTCCTCCTCCAAGCTATAATCAGCGCTCTGCTGAACACTGATAGAAGTCACAAGACTGACTGCCCTAACTGCTGATGAGAAAAAGTATTTAGCTATTTATATTTACTAAAATAATTGCATTTCCATGCTCTGTGTATTGTGGGAGACCAGGTATAGTGAATGTAGGATCCTGGGTTTAGTAACACTTTAATCAAATGCACACACACCAGACCATGAGCTGTAGTAGGTACAGCAGACACATCATGTTTCCCAGGCACAGATCCACCACAGATGTATGCACGTCCACTCTGGAATCACTCCTCTTAGGCAGCAGAAAAAGGCAACTCCCACTGGAGCAGATAGAACTCACCAAGGAGCCCACAGAAAGCCAGTGATAGTGTAGTAGTTTAAATAAAGGTTTAGGGTATTAGAACAGAGCCATAGCTTTAGCCCACAGTCAGCTGATTCTGGGGCACAGGAGAGCACACATAAGGAACCCACAAGAGAAGTATGGCCAAAATAGCTTTGGCCTGTACTTCTCTTTTAAAGAGACACCGTAGAGCAAAGTTACAGTGTCTCTAAAAAAGGATCCCCTGATTCCCTATACTTACCTTACCAGTGCACCTCTACTGCACCTTCTTCTGTGCAGTTGTGTACAATACATGGCACCTATAGGAATAGAGGGAGCATGTGACCTCCTCCTCCTCCTGTGACAGTGCTGGAGTCTGGCAGTCGATTGCCAGTTTTGAACACTGTCACATTATTTAAGTTACAGTACAGTTAACATTAACCTTGAAATCATACTTTTTGTAACCTTTGTAACCCACATAAATAGCAAAGAAGACCATATTTAATTTGCCTCTGAATATAATCATAGGATATGATTTAGCATTTACTTGATTATCGAACTGCTGTGATTCTGATTAACAAATGATCATAAGTCATAATCCTGGGAAGAATACCTGCACTAGCATGCAGACACATTATATGTCTAGAAGAAATAATTTGAGCATTTTAATTACACTCTCTATTTTATACAGACCTTTTTTTCAACTCTGATATAAAAAAGAGTGCTATATTGAAATAAACTTTCCGATGCATTAAATAACTGAATATATTACTCTGACTGGTGTAATGAATCAACTAATGTGAGAAACATTGAAGAATGACACTTAAAATATACAAACTGGCTAAGTAAGTTCTTATTGTCATTTGGTGTGATAAAGTGCTATTATGAAGGAATATTATTACTAACCCAAAGATGCACAATAATCAAAAGCACTAAGAATTCTTAATTAGCTATGAATTGCTTTAAAGTAGCGTTTAAAAAGAAAATCCAGCCCTTCTTATATGTTGTAGCTGGCTTTGGTGTCACTTGTTTGTCAATGTAGTTTTCCACAAGGCCTAGATTGTAAGCTCCAAGGAGCAGAGCCCTCCAACCCCTCGTGTATTGTATTGTATTGTTACTGTGCTGTCTCGTGTACTGTCTCCCATTATAATGTACAGCACTGAGCAAACTGTTGGCGCTATATAAATACTGTATAATAATAATAATAATAGTGAATGCATGTCACAGAATGTAAGTAAGAGGGGTTGGTTTTCTAAAACTGGAAAGTTGCAATACTCAGGAAGGCTGTGGCATTTAAACAATGCTCATGTGGTACTAAGGGTCCCACAGTGTGCCAAGAAAATATCACCCACACCATTACACCACCAACAGCCTGAACTGTTGATATAAGGCAGGATGATACATTATATGTCTAGAAGAAATAATTTGAGCATTTTAATTACATTCTCTGTTTTTATACAGACCTTTTTTTAAACTCTATTACCATAGTAATTTTCACTTTTTTTTAAGGAGGGAGAAAGCAGGGGGATGAGACCTGATTTGAATAACTAATACTTTTTTAGTGACCCTTGAGGATGGATTGATCTACATTTTCTGCAGCTACAAAGGTCAGTGAAGGTTTGTTTTAAAGACTCTACAGACACAAAATATATTTTTCAATGGCCTCAAATCTACTTTGTGCGCACTAAATGCCACTAAATGCCATCTTGAAATCCCACTTGACACCTTGTAAACGTTATATTGTTCTGCAGATACTTGTGCAGAGATCAGAGCTGTGGAAGGAACCCATAAGGCCCATCCACTACAGACTGCCACAGAAAACTACAGGAAGGGGGTAGATACAAAAACCAGTCACCCTCCACAAGGAAAAGAGCAACAGTGACTGGTCTATATCACAGTAAGCTCCTGAACAGAGGAAAAGTTGCATGATGGAATACTAAAGATCTAAAGGAAAGACACAAATCACATCATTATTAAATTAAGAATAAACATAGCTTTTGTATTTAGACAATATTTGCCCATGAGCAACGAATATGAACACAGATGAAATTGATTATAAATGTTTAGCGAGATGGTATTTGACCCATGTGTTGTACATAGACTGCGAATAGAAGTATCACCGTTATGTTGGAGAGGATGTGGATTTAAGGGAACAACAGCACATATCTGGTGGGATTGTCTAAAAATACAGGTTTTTTGGCAAGATATAATACAACTAATACAGGGGATATTGGGGAATAATATACAGAAAGATTCGTGGGTGTGATTATTTTATAAGTCAGAGTCATCAGTGAAACAGTATAAAAACATTGTATTATATCACCTGATTAGTGCAACCAAAGGACTCATTCCCAAATTTTGGCAGACAGGAGCCCCCCAAAAACTAGGGATTGGATAGACAGGGTTGAATATATAAATAAGATGGAGGAGCTGTACCATATAGATGAAGATAAAATGGAAAAGAGAGGAATGGGGTAGATGGTATGACTTTAAGACATCTGAGAAATATTTGGAAATAGTAAGAAGTCCCAGTGGCTTGAAGTAGGAGAGCTGAACAGAATAGGAAAAAAATGAACGGAAAGAAGAGGAAGAGTAGGAATAGATGGTTAAAAAGAAGTAAAATAGATGTAGACTGGAATGATGGAAAGAAACAGGAAGAGGCATATGGACTGGGGGTTAGTTGAGGTGTGGGTGGGTGTTGGGGGGGAGGGAGGTGGGGAGAAGGGAGTGGGGAGATGTAGGTGAATATTTGCCTATTCTGGAGCACAGCTTTAAAGTATACTTAATGTGTGCTCATAGTCTCATTTTCCCAATGCTCATAGTCTTGACACAGATCTACTATTATCATATTAAAACTTTTTAAGATGAATTTTGTACAAGAAAGTGATAGAAAGGATGGGTGTGGAATCCATAGCTAATATATAGATTGGTTTTCACATCTAAGGCTGGCCATACGTTATACAATTTTTCTTGAGATTTTTGGTTTAGATTTACCAAAAACCATATAATAGGAGGTCAAATCTAACAACACTTTTTTTGTATCCAATTAGGCAGGCTCTTGCACTACATAGTTGAAGGTAAATCTAAAGGAAATTGGGCAGAAAATTGTATAGTGTATGCCCAGCCTTAAAAAAAAATGTGTTTTTACCAATTTACCACTTTGTGGCTGATAAAGCTGTCTTTTGTTGTGACTAGTACATAAAGAAAACTGAAAAAAACTCCTGAAGCCTCAGATAGCAGTATCACAGTGTATTAAATTTATATTAAAGACATCTATTTAAAATAACAAACATGTCATACTTCTCTGCTCTCTGTAGTGGTTTTGCACAGAGCAGTCCCAGTCCTCCTCTCCTCGGGTCCCCCGCTGTTGCTCCTGGTCCCTCTCTTCTGCCAAGTGCCCTCAGAGAAAGCAGTTTGCTATGGAGGCACCTGAGCAGTCTTGCTCCCAAAGCCACTGCTCTGTGTGTCCTTTCACACATGGAGCCGCAACTCGGGCCTGTCCCCCCCTCTTCTCATTGGCTCACTGGCTGTGATTGACAGCAGAGGAAGCCGATTACAACCACTTTAATCCTAGGGGTATCTGCACACATGCACCCATATATAATTCCCAGGTTCCATAAAACTGAAAGCAGCCTGTTCTAAAAAGCTCATCCATTTCCAATTGTTGAGAGTGGGGTCAGTCCTCTGCCACCTCCTGCACCAACAATTGGGCCATAACTGAACATGCAGTGCATGTTTTGGGTGCAGTGCTATGTGGCTGCATTTTGCAAATAAATGGGCTGCTTTGCCCATGCAAATGCACCCACACAGAGCCGCAGTAGTGTGAACCTAGCGTTACAAAGGGAAAGGTTTTGAATTTGCTTGCAAGCGATATGGCATTGACAGCATCTTAAAAAAAAGGTCTGCTGTGTATTTAGGGTGACCTTTGGATGGGTCTGCATGCTGGCAATGAATATCATTTGCTGGCAATTTGATAACAATGCATCATCTATTTTCTTTGTAAATGTCACTTTTGTTGTAGCATATCTCACAGAATCCCACATAATTACATAAAATACATGCCAGACCTTTTGAGTCTGGTATAGATT